TGCCTGGTGCATGCTCAGAATGGACTCATGCATGCAGGCCGAGACCCTGGGCATCCAATGAACAATGCAACACAAACCTGGTGCAGTGGGCTTCACTATGGTTATGACTTGCTTCCCAATTGTCTCTGCACAACAGTCCAAACAGCCATTTGAGAATCCGCCTAAACACAGCCAAAGTCCATGGACTCCTGGTGCTGGGTGGGCATCTGTCCTTGCTATCACTAACACATTCAGCACTGGGCCTTTGCCTACCCTGGAATGTGTCAATTTATAACGTGCTGCTGTTTCAACATTCGAAACCTCGCATGGCACCCACACTGTTCTTTCAATTGTCTGACGATCTGCCACCACAAGTGACATATCCTACCTGGCGATGGTGCCACAGGTGCTGGCAATGGAGCTGGTGCTGGTACAGTGACCGGTGCCACACCTGTCAAGAAGGAAAGTACTCAACAACATGCTCTGGAAAGGGCAATGCGACAGTTTGCCAACATGCTGATATGCAACGAATATTCTTCCACAGGAAAAACCACTCTTGGGTTTGGGATGTAACGGAATTTCAACGGAACATTCTTTGGCAAATCAGCAAACACCATTGCAGCATGTTCCTACCTAGAGGGGTGGCTTCCACTGGCATTGGAGCCATTGCCGCTGGCATTGGAGCCGGTACCACTGGTGTTGGTGCCGGTACCCCTGGCGTTGGAGCCAGCAGCACTGGCATTGGAGACAGTAACACTGGTGTTGGAGCTGGTACCACTGGTGTTGGAGATGGAGCCACTGGCGTAGGAGTTGGTGCCATTGGCATAGGAGCCTGTGCTGCTGGCCTTGAAATGGGTGCCTCTGACCTTTGGGGCGGTGCCACTGGTGTTACTGGTACAGAAGGCACAACACAGTGATATATTATGCATACGACGTGCCACGCCCTTAACATGAAAGCTACTTCAGTGCTCTTCTCCTCAAGGGCAACAGCCAGACATACAAGAGCAGGCACTAACCTGGTGCGGAAACGTTTACAGGCCCTGGAGCTGGTGCTTCTGTAACACAAACACAAACTCAGTCATTGTCAGCAGCAAGAACCAAGGCATTTTCCAAATACAGAACATTTGGTTTACAACGGAGCTACTGGAGTTCTGTCAAAAGGAAGGCAAATTCCAAGCACAACTTAACACATGGTGCAGTACTGGAGCCCCTTCAGCCAGGCCCACTGCTCCACAATCCAACGTTTCTCAGCACTGCTGACTGCACTTGTAAGATGTAAACAATGCAAGAACTAGTAACAAAACGTGGAGTTGATGGGCCTTCTGCTGGAATGGTTGGTGGCTCTGGCGCGACTGCTTCTGCTGGTCCTGTTAAGATGCAAACCAGTCAAAAGAACATACACATGAGGACAAGGGAAGTACATTAAGCTGCCTTTTCAACCTTACACTCACCTTGAAAGCAACAAACAGCATTCACTATCATCAATATGCAATGTGAGCAAATGTGTGGGACACACAAGTGTCGTATGCATTGGCCAGCAAAGAGTGTGGCTCAATCAAGGTTGTTAGGTACTCTACAATGACGCCAGAGTGAACTAAAGGTAGCTGGCAAGTAACAAACACAATGAACTGTGGGATTGACAAGCAAGTTCAAGCATTCACAAGTCCTCAGAACAGCAATCAACTATTCTACTGTTCCCATGCATACTTACCAAGTGCAGGGCTCGGTGAGGGCAAAACAATCACTGGTGCAGGAGCTGGTGTCTTGACTGGTCCAGTTTTCTTGGGCTGAGGTGGGGGCCTCGGTGCTGTGAATCACAAGACATTAGGACAAGGCCCTCATTCTCAATGTGCAAACACTCATCTGCATCTACTATCAGCATATGCACGGGAAAGCTAGTCAGTTTGCTTAGCGGCTGAGGAATGACAGGAATGACAACCTGGATGATGTGCTATATTGGGAGACATGTTCATGGTCAACAAATTCGGGACCTGCACACAACTGCCACAAAACATAAGCCCCACGGAAGACACAGAAGCATTTATGTGGTTGGTCCTTGGTGCCAAATGATGGCAACTTGAAAAGCCCTTCAAATGCTGATTATCCTGTGGCCCACAGATCATGGTTGGTATCATGATGTTGCATGGCTGTGGAAAAGAGCAAACATCGATTGCCAATTTCCACTGTGCAATGCTGCATCCACAACACAGGAATACATCCTGAGTATCTTCTCCATGAACATGACATGTGCTACAAAGGCTGTCAGAGGAAGTGCGCTTAGCAACACCAGCCCTTGAGCACAGCACAGCTGCTGTCCGAAACCAATGATCTTGAAAAATTAAACATTCATTGAGCTGGCCAAGCCTTTGCAGCCATATCCTAGATGCCACGTGGACAACAATTCACTAGTTACCTGGAACAAGCACAGGGCTTGGTGAAGGCTTTGTGGACACCATAAATGTTGGAGAAACCCTTGGCTTGAATATGCAGTTGAAGTCCGATTCATTTAGTCCACACACAGGCACACAGCTGCCTGCTGACACAGCCCGGTGCCCAGGACTGTCAATCAACAGCTCGCCCCCGCAGTTCCACATTTGCAGGCTCTGCAGCACATATGAGACAGTTGAACCATTGCAGAAAAACAGTTCCCTGCCCTCATTTTTCACTTCAACAGCAACTCAAAATGGCATGTCCTGGCCTTCAACAAGACACGGGGAGGGATCACTGCAGTGTTCAGCCTGCAGCAGCATCGTGCCTAATACAAGGGTTTTATTCTCAGCCCACTTCACCTCTGCATTTGTTTCGCCAGGCCGCAAATTCGCTCCGGGCAAGATGGATTCCGCACTGTGAAGGGTTTCAAAGGTTTCTAATGTAAGCAACCCCTGAAATATACCCAATCTGCTGTGCGATAGGGCATCAGGACCACCTGTCTGCCAAGAGTCAATGGGTGCATTTTGCATCTTGTTGCACTTGTCACACAGTGGATCAGAGCTGTTCACCAAGAACCATCCACAGCATTCTAAGTCATCCCGCAATACTGCACAGCAGCAAGGACAACGTGCACATCTCACCTCATCAAATGCACAGGTTGATGACCGCACAACATTGACAGTGCGCCTTGAGACCACAGCTGCACATCTGTTGTCCACACAAGCATAGTAATTGCAGTCTGTGCCTGTCTGACCACACTCAGGTGGCAGCTCATCATCGTCGCAGATGACTGGGCACTTGGTGCTCGGGCTGAAAGCCTGGCAGAAACACACAGCAGTGCTTATTGCTGTTGCTTTTATGGGCAGACATTGCCAGATTGGTGAAAGGGGTTGCCTTGTTGTGAAAAGTGTGTTATCAATGAAACTGGAAACCTAGGGGTATCTTGGGTCATGTGACACCTCCCCCTATCACCCGGATTACCCTATACCCCAAACGTGCGGTGTCACATAGGGTGCGATCGCACAAGTGCCATCAAGCGACCCAAGATACAGGTGGGTTGGTTTGTTCAGAACACTTATTCATATTTCTTTCAGTCTATCCACTTGGCAGAAAAGTCTCCAATTGCCCATCCATTTCTTTCAGTCTATCCACTTGGCAGAAAAGTCCCTAATTGCCCACAATATCATGCCCTCGCAAGATGACGCACACAAAGGCACACAAGCCGCTTGCAGCAATGAACAACATAGAAAGCGATGCTCAACCAGTCAGAAATTGAGAACAGATGTGCATGAGGACCTGAGTCCATGCTGTCATCTACTCCAAGCGGACAACAGGGAAATTGTGTGGCAATGACAGGCAACCCACAAACGCAAACACTCTGCCTATTCGCACCTCCATGAGGATGTCCTTTTCTTGCCTGCTGGCAACTTTGCATCTGCACCTGAACCTCACATCTGAGCCATCTGAGCAAACATCTATATGGCCAAAACACAAGAGGTATCAGGAATGTGGACATCGACTCACACGCACATTCTGAGCAGGTGCTGCACTTGCACAGCAAATTGTACGACTGTTTGCAGTTGTGACCAATGCAGCACAGCGTGGCAGTGCATTAAATCTTGTCTATCACACATCAGAGGGAAACACTGTACCCCACAGGATCACCCCAATACCATCCATTTATTCTTCCATTTGCTCATCGACAGAAGGGCAGGAACAACACAATGGGTGCAAGCCCAGTGATATTGCTTGACAGGGAAGAAAAAGAACAGCTGAAACCAACAAAGAATTCAGCATTCGAGTTCCACAAACCTCCATCTTGTTCTTCAGTGCCCTCTTCAGCAGGTGCTTCATCCAAAGCCGATGTCATTGTGGGCACACGGAATCGAGGGGTGAAGGAACACGACAGACTCTGCGGCCCACACGTTGGGACACAGACACCATTCTGAACTGTGTGATAGGTTGGATCGTCTACCAACAAGAGCGCTCCGCAGTCCCATAGATGAAGCTCCTGTGAGGAGAAAAACATTGCCACAGAGAATGTTGGCACAACGGACATGGCCAGTTGCATGTCACCTGGAATTGCAAGACCACCACAGCTTTCACAGCTGCCTCACCACAGAAGGGAGGGAACCATGAGGAAAAATGATTAAAAGAACAGCACATACCAACTGCGATGCAACTTTGAGGAATTTAGAGGGCCATTGTGCTCCTTGTGTGCATTATGCGTGATGTGCTTTGCAATATCAAGTGTATGTCAATTTTTTGCAATTGTAATGGTGGGAGAGAGCAAAACCACTGGGAACAAAACTTGTGAACATCGCCTGACATAGTCTAACAAGATGCATCAGCAGTGATTCACTCCGCTTTGGCAAATATAGCAGCTGTGGCTTTTACAATACATTGTGGTGATAACAGGGTAGGCTGAATGCCGAACAAAATGGAAAACATGCATTATGCACTGCTGTGCTGGGATCCACCATTTTGTGTATCATTATAGAATTACTGCGTTCAGGGTACAATTTCGGACATAAGGATGTGCCTTGGCATTTGCAATGGACAAACCTGCACCAACTAAAGACAGAGGTCACCTCTTTGTACTCGCATGCTTCAGTTCTGATAATATCAACAGCCTGGGCTTGAATGGTTGTACCACATCCATGCCAGACACAAGTGTAATCCCATCGGCCTTCTTCACATGACGCTTTGCAGTTTGATAGGTCCCTGTCACGGTCTTCACAAACGGGCTTGCACGATGACCCAGCCACAGATGTCACCTGCAAAGGGTTGATCAACTCCATCAGGTCAGCAGTGACAACAGAAGGAAAGTCGCCACCAATGTGATGGAAACAAATGCCCTCCAAATGCGAATCCAAGCACAGATTTTCATACTTCCAGATTGATTTACCTCCTACTGATTTGAAACAACATGGAATACACAGAAAGCCACCCTACACTCCCAGAAGAGATGGGGACCATCTTCATCCAGTACTGTAAAATTTCAGCCCAAAGCCATTGGAATGCAGTCACCTTTGCTGCAGTGGCATGCTCAGACAATGGCCAGGCAGGTTATGTGCATTCAACACACAGGACTCCCTGGCTGGACAACTGGGCTGCACTATGCCCCAGAACAGCCAGAACACGATTAATGTGAACAAACAAACCTCACATTGTTTTTGCCCCAAGCACACCAGTGCCACATTGTCAGCCTGAAGATAACGGGAAGGTGTCAATTCATGCGGAGATATGTGCCAAAAGAAAACTATGTCCCAATCCCAGGAAGCAAAACATCTACCCACCTGGGTGAGGGCATAGAAATCATCAATGCTGATGATTTTGCAATCACACAGCATTTCTGTTGCTTCCGATCCATCAGGACAGATTTCTGTTGATCAGCATCACCAATGCATCCATAGTCAGCCAGTATCCCCAGAAGAGGGATTGTTAACACAGTCCATACCAAAGCCAACGAAACAGCTCGCAAGTAACCCACGGCCTGCAATTCGCTGAGTGCTGATCAGCAATACCTAGTGTGATACAGAGAATGCACTTATTAATGTTGTTGAGTCTGAAAGCTCAATCAAACACACGTGAGGTCTGGATACTCGACCAGGACTGAGCTGGCAGATAGGAAACAAGGCAATGCAAATGATGCCAAAGCCAAATGGCCAATCCAGTCTTGGAGTACGAAGGCCAACAGGTCAGAAGCTGTGCAAATGCATCACACCCGTTGGTTGTTCTGTTGCAGTGGACGATGAATTGGAGCTTCATTTCACACTTCTGAAGTCATTGCAGTTTGTCGAAATCTACCTGTCCCACATTGCTGATTAATGGCGACACATTGCCACCTTCAGAAGGTCTCTGCAGATCGTCAGAAGCCTACATTGTCCCAGTCGCAATCTACAGCTGCATGTTATCATTCTTGTGAACCTGTCGAAGAATGCCAGGCGATGATGCTGTCCTAGCATCGATAGACAGTGGGGAAATATGACAAGGCAACCATGCTGGGTCCAAAGAGCATGTCTGTATGCAGCGATTCTGCAGAGTGGCAGGTGTCCCACAGACAAGTACCTGGAGCTGGGGGCAGCATTGGGGGAGAAGGCTGGGCCACTGCCGGAACTGGCTGTGGTGATGACACCACAACTGGTGGGGGCGGTGACACAGGTGGTGAAGTGGGAGGCAAAGCCGGAGCCGTTGCAGGAGAGGGGCTGGTCATGAACATTGGGGACACCGCTGGTCTGTATAGGCAGTAGAAGTGGTGGTCCTTCAAAGAGCAGGCCGGTACGCAGTCCCCAATCGACACTGCACGGTGGCCCTGCTCGTCGATGTAGAGCTTTCCACCGCAATTCCACATTTTCATCTCCTGTTTGCAGGCAGAAGCAGGGCTGACAAGCAGTTCAGGGATCAGACCCCAAACACCCCAAACCAGCACATACACCATGTGGTGCAATGGCCCTGAGATATCCTTTTGCAACTAAAGCCGATTTCAAAGCCACTAATATAAATTCAAGGATGTTGATGCCATGGATTTTGAGGCCACAGATTTCAATACCAGGCATGGCACTGGATGCAGATGGCTCTGAGAGCAAGCCAACAGGTGCCCAAGCCAAGACTGCAGGCAAGTTCGGGGCAGGTACAAGGGTGTTGAAATGTTCACCCTTGGGTCAAAGCCCATTAACGAACCTGGGAGTATTCACACGTGGATGACAGCACAACCTCTGCAGCCCATCTTGAGACTTTGACAGCACAGCTGCTGGTGAGGCAGACCACATGGCTGCAGTCTTTGCCATCATTCAAGCAGTGGGTTGGCATATCTCCAGTGGCACAAGAGGCCTCACAGCTGCCGCGCTGAAGGTACTGCAATGATGGTGGCCACAAGTCAGTATATATCAAGGAAAGTGAGACTGGACCAAAGTTGTGCACTGTGCATGGAAGTATGAAGATGCTCGGTTTTTTTACATTCCAATGCAATATCTCACGCTCAAGTGGTCAAATGCCAAGCCAAGTCCAGGTGCTGTGTAGATCGGTGCTTTCAGGTTCAAGGGCAACCATTCTTTTGTGTTTGTTTGGCACACGCGTGCGCCAAGTGGTAGGTGACTGTCCCGGAAAAAAAGATGTCAAAAAAATCAGGAAAGCAGAATAATGTTGGGCTCCAGCCCTTGATCGCCATTTAAGCATCCAGCCGTGCTACATTTCACTGGGGACATGCACTCAGGAGGAAAGGACTTCTGAGTTCAAAACATCACGCGTGAAAAAAATCGAACATCACTGCCTCTCCACATCAATACTATCAGAAAATGGGAAGTCCAACTAGGCAAAACAGGGCAAAGGGATTGCAGATTGTGGAAGAACAAGCAGGGCAAGGCAATGAAAGGTGCACAAAGTTGACACCACAGTTTGCTCACGGGCATGAGAGCCGTCTTCTCCTCCCTGCTGGCCAGTTTGCATCCACATTTGAAGTTCACCGATGCACCTTCTCCGCAGCCATCTAAAGACCACAACATTTGTTTTGAATGGCGATGTTGATTACAGACACAGTGTTTGGGACATGAATATACAGTTTGGAGAATGGGTTTATCATGACCTTTACATGCAAACAGCAGAATTGACATGCAACATAATGGCCCCTGTCAGCACACAAGACAGCTGCACGCCAAGAGCCAACATGCCCTGTGCCTGCATTCCTTCTTCTGTGCATCACATTAAGACCGGAGCAAGAAACACAAGGGGCTGTTGCAAGGGACTGTGAACACATGCTGCCCAACGCATAGTTCCAGAGTTAGTTATGCATCCTGTGCTGATCAAATTTGGACTCCTACAAGATTGCAGCGGGCCCTTGTGACTGACCAGATTCTGGCACCGCTGGCACATTGTCCGCCGGGGTTGGCTGTGTCGGGGCGGCGTTGTCATCGGATGCAAACTGAACTTTTCCCGTGAAAGAACATGACAATTGCTGAGAGCCACATGTGGGGGCACAGGAACCTCCTACAACTGTGCGGAATGTACGATCATCCACCCACAGAACCCCACCACAATCCCATATATTATCCTGCAAGCAAGGAAGCGAACAGAGTTCAGCACAAGTGGGAAATATTCATGGATCGTCCTGGTCAGCCAATCACCAAGCACAGCCAGCAGAACTGCATCTGCGTGAACCAACAACCAACACGTCAGGAGCTGAAAGGGCCAAAAGGAAAATTAGTAGCCTGCCCAGGCACTTCAATACTATCAGGTTCCAGACCTTCGATGCCGAGTTTGAGAGATTGATGGCAGGAGTAGCTGCACCTGTGGGAAATGCAGGTCACGCAGCATGTGTCTGACAATGTTACCACTGCAGATCTGAGAGAAATGTGAGAGTGGAGTGCGCATACCTCTTGATAGCTACAAGTCTCAGACCTGATGATATCCATGGCTCGTGCCGGTATATTTGTGCCACAGCCATCCACCACGCACACAAACTGCTCAGCACCTTCGGGACAAAACGAGTTGCAGTTGTGGAGCATGTACTCCTTGTCTTCTTCACAGACAGGCTGGCACTTCAGCCCATCTGTGGACATGACCTGTGGCATTTTCACAAGGAAGTGTTGGCTACACGGTGCTCAATCAATAGATCAGCAAGATGCAACATGGCAGCCCCATGCCAGCACAACTTTCAAGGGGTAAATGTTACTGTGGTGTCTGTGGTTTCACAAATCCGCACAATTATTTGCCCCCAAATGCTTGACCCAGCAAATTTTCTGCCTCATGGAGTAAGGCCACCATAGTTTTGCACCGCAAAGTTTGGCTGTGCCCATGCGTCTGCACTCGACATCTAATGTGGAGCACACCATTCTTCTCACAATGAGGAAGGACGCCCAAGAGGCCGTACACAGAGGGGCTTTGCATCTTCCTGTCCCCCAGTGACTGGGTCACAACATGCGCAACACAGTTCCCCTTGCCACACAGCACTCCCACCGCACTGTGGCACCATCACAGCATTCACTGTGGTAGAAGAATCGAGGGGCGTCCTTTGTGCAGCTTGAACATGGTGGAATTGAGAAACCTGAACAATGGAGCTATAGAAGACAGAGACAGCTTGCAGGTGATGGGCAGCAAATCGTGAGGAACAGAAAAATGCTGTGGGCTGACTACTTCAGTGGTGGACCGAATCCGGGATCATAGATGTAGATGGAATCACCGAAATTCAGCACAAATGAAAATTTCTGCCTGTACAGTATTGGTCACTCGCAGGGATAGCTCCTGCGGGCCCGCAGCACACTGCTCTGCCTGAAATCGCACATCGCTGATTTTGCTTTACGATGCAAGAGCAGATCATGTCATCATGCAAACCAGGTCATCTCACGTGATGAGACCTATTTATTGGTGTTCATAAGTGATGCAACAGATATACCTCATGCAAAAAGAGGTCTAATTAATGCATTAAATGCAGATAAAAAATACAGGCGTTCAGGGCACAATCCACTGTGCATTGCAACATCCCAACATGGCCTGACCTCGCCCCCTCTTCAGACTGCAGGCACTGGGAGATCACACACCAGATATACCTCATGCAAAAAGAGGTCTAATTAATGCATTAAATGCAGATAAAAAATACAGGCGTTCAGGACACAATCCACTGTGCATTGCAACATCCCAACATGGCCTGACCTCGCCCCCTCTTCAGACTGCAGGCACTGGGAGATCACACACCAAGGGACCAGGATATGAAAAACTGTGCTTGCCTGAGATAGTGCATCAAAGTCTTCAACTCTGACAATCTGGCAACCGCATATCAATTCTTCCGATTTGCTGCCATTTGCACAATGCGTGTCTGACAGCGGCACAAACACAAAGGGTGAGTTTCTGAAATCCAACCAGCTTTTCTCAGTGTTACTTCTGTTGCTTTCAACCAAGCAATCTGTCTGTATGCTGAACACAGGCTGATGTAGCAAGCAAAAAGAAATGATGACTGCATCCAATGTGAACAGGCAGTCAATTGGGTACATGGAAAGCCAAGTATACTCCTTTTCCACATGGAAGCTATTCCCCAACTTGATCACTGGTTGTACCCACTGCTGATGTTGTTCTGGCTGGCCATGCTGTGCAAAGGAGGCAATCAAGTCTGCCTGTTGTTTGGTTCCAAGGTTAAGAAGGCATGCCTTTCCACTGTGTACGGATGTGCTGTTGCCACAGCAAAGGAGGTGGCCAAAGCATACAAGCCCGAGGATTTGGCAATACTGCCATGCACCATCCTGTTAATCCGTCCCCTTATGTATTCTCTTGCAAAGATCGAACTTCCCTGCTCAGCCTGGGTTTGCACATGGACAAACGCAGCAGAACCATACCTCCTACCACTAACATTCTACGCTTCCTTGAACAACCTTCCATTCAAAACCAGGAACAGTTGTGCTAACTGGTGGCTGATAAGCAATTAAAATTAAAAAAAAAAAAAAAAAAAAAAAACAGAACATGCCAATGGAAGCAGCCATGGATCGTTGAGCAATGCCTTCCCCCTGCCCAATCCGAACTCCCTTGGAACCATACACTCTGTACATTGGTGCTCTCAGTATCTCCAAAGGCTTCCCCACCTAAATTCACTTTGAGCACAGTTGTCCCAAGGCTATGACAAAGCCATTGCCCCTACTCGGCGGTGATGTGCACTTTCGACCTCCACAGTTTATCTCCCCAGAACGCGCACGAATGCCTTGATCGGCTTATCTGTGAGTCGCAATCTCAGCATTCGGAGCCTACAATGCCCACATGACCGTGCACCATGTCTAACACAACAAATCTGTTGCTGGTGCACTGCATTCTTGTTCACAAAATCCGAGCCACAACCAGTCAGTGGTGTGGTTCCCTTGTGAGAAACGGTCACATGCAATTGCACAGAGAAAACCTACAAACGATGCCAGGAGCATAGTAGAGTGCCAGGCACCCTCACTTTGAACCTGGTTTTCCAAGTGAAAGCCTCCCACGAGGCATTCCATGACCATAAGGCCACGTGTGCCTTTCTCTCCCCCGTGCCAGAAGTGAATGCAGAGGTCCATGCAATCACCCGCGGCACCGACGCCCCCCTGGATATTCTGTTCCACGCTCTGTGACAGCACCAGCGCGGGTGACGTC